GCTGACACCTAATATATTTTTCATTAGATACAGATGTTCAATGTATTTTTTTTTCTTCAAGCATTTATGAAAAGCAGGGTAACAAAATCTTCAGTATAATACATAAAATGTAAAAAAGTCTTATTTTTCAGTAAATTGCTAATGGCTTTTTGATGAGAATCATTTTTTTTTTTTATAAATTACAAGTTCCTTTAAGTTTAGTACAAGAATCGTATTCCTTGAAATTGTGAATGGAATCTTTAAATTGCCATGGAACTTCATGAAATAATAATGCCTAAAAATCTTTTCCAAATTTACAAAGGCTTATATGTAGTTCCTTAAGGAATCATACAACAATATGAAGTTTACCTTCTTCATCTTGAAATTTAAACACATTTGAATAATGTGACTATTAAAGGGAACTTGTTGGGACCAGCAGTTAGCATAATGACTATGTCACTGGACTCCCATGTAGTCGACCGCAGTTCAAGTCCTGGACCCGGTGGCTTAAACTCACTCTGGTTGCGTGTGCATGCATGCCCAAGATCCTGAGAGGAGAATGGAGCAGAAGGGATTACGGCATGGCCCTCCTCCCTGGGGAGTGATTTCTTGCTTTCTGTCTCTCTGTCTTTCTGGTGAGCTCACGCACCCTGTAGCAAAAACCTCTCCAAATAAATAAATAAAGGAAACTTGTTTATAATATTTATTTTTCATACCTGTTTGCAAAATGACTTTCTTATTATCATTAGAAAATATAGGCCAAAAGCAAGCAGGTGGTGTGATAGTTAGGATGCTGGGCTCCCACATGGCCGACCGTGGTTTGAGTCCCAGACCTGGCAGCTTACTCTTTCTCACTCTCTCTGAGCTCATATGAGCTATAGAAACTTTAAAAAATAATAATAAATAAATTAAAAAAAAACTTAAAAAAAAAAGAAAAGAAAATACAGGCCAGTGCAGTAGATGCACACTACAAAGCCTGTTGTGTTGGCTTTTGTATCTTGAGACCAGTACTTTTATTTTTGAGTTGAGTTCAGCTGTGTTTGATTTTGAAATAAAATTAGTTATGCTCAGGCTACTTCTTTGGTAAATACTTTGAGCTACTGATGTTTTGCCACCTGCAGAAGTCATTATCCTAACTGGGGGCTAAAATGTGGACTATCCAGTAGGGAAAAAACGAACATTAAAAACTAGTCACTTTGTTCCCCCTTGACCCACCCTTCCCCCCAAACTGGGAAAAATATCATCTTAAACAGATGTTTCTTAAAATCCAAATGTATTAGATATTGTGAGTTTAGTTTCAAAGAAATAGTTTACCTGTTGTTCCATTCAGGTTATATTTATTTCAAGTGTTCATGAAATTGAGCTATGTGCATTTATCTTAAGATAAAAGATAGGTCCATAAAAATCTCAGTATAACACATTTAAAATACTTTTTCTCTTCCACTCTCTTGCTTTCAACTTAACTACTTTTCACACACACACACACACACACACACACACACACAAATCTGATATTTTCTCAAAGTTTTCCAGTAGTTTATTTCTTTAATTTTTAATTCACATGCTTACTAAACACATTTTTCAAGGGCTTTTTACATAAGTAACATTATGCTTATCTCTGTAGGAGATATAAAGAAAAAAAAGCAATATTTCAAGTGGTTTTATAGTATATTGAGGAAGATAATACATTTAAACAAAACATGTTACTAAATAAAAGAACATGTCTGATAATTCCCTTTGCTAAGAGATGTTGCTGAACATGGTCACACAGACAGGAGATCAGTGTATCCTGGGAGAGTCTCTTTCTGAAACTGTGATCTGATGAAAGATAGACCTTAGCTGGGTAGACAAAAGTTGGGACACTGAAGGTGCAGGCCATGCCAGGAACCCCGGAATGAAAGCAGAGCAGCAGGAACAGGAAGGACTGAGAGGGGAACTGTGAAGGCAGTGAGTGAACCACCAGGCAGGGGATAGGAATATTAAATTAGAAAGATGGTTTAGAGGCATAAAGAGGGGCCTTTGGACATTTGGTTAAAATGCGTATATTTCATAGTAGTTATGACACTGGACTCTCAAATGGTTGACCACAGTTCAAGTCCCAGACCTGGCAGCTTGAAAATCATGCCGGATGTGAATAATTTTGTGTCTAAAATCCTAAGAGGAAAATGGAGGCGAAGGGATTGCAGCATGGTTATTACACTGGAGGGAGGGGTGATTTCTTACTTTCCCACTCACTGTCTCTCTTTTTTTCTGACAAGCACATGCACTCTATGGCAAAAATCTTAAAAAGAAAAAAACGCAGATTTCACATTCTAAATAAAGGGGAAAATTAGGAGCTGTGTAACCAAGGTGTCTGTGCGAAGAATCACTCAGTGAGAGTTTTGTTTAGCAATATTTATCATATCAGAGAATGTGCAGAGAAAAATTGGGGACAGAAGGTACAGTCGTTGTTTTCGTTGCTAGAGGTTTAGAGATCAGGTCATAAAGATTTTTATTAGAATTATGGCATGAGAAATGAAGCCTAAATATACAGATTTTGTGACTAAGAACTAGAAAATTAAGGCAAAAATCGAAATAGCCTGTAACTTAGAAAATAAGGAATGGGGAAAATATATGAGCTTTGGGAAAGATGTTTTGAGGGAGCATAGAACAAGTAATTATTGAGACCAGCAGATGGCGTAATGGTTATGTCGCTGGACTCCCACGTAGTCAGTCGTGTTTTGAGTCTGGGACCTGGCAGCTTGAATCGCACTCTGGGCATATATGCATGTGTATCCAAAATCCTGACAGAACAGAGAAGAAAGGAGTGCGGTGTGGCCACACCCCAGGAGGTGGTTTCTCACTTTATGTCTCTTTCTCTTTCTCTTTGCTGAGCACACATGCCTTATAGCAAAAATCTCTCTTAAAAAAAGAACAAATGGGACCAGCAGTTAGCATAATGGCTATGTCGCTGGACTCCCACATAGTCGACCGCAGTTCGAGACCCGGACCCGGTGGCTTAAACTCACGCTGGGCACATGTGCGTGCGTGCCCAAGATCCTGAGAGGAGAATGGAGGAGAAGGGATTGCGGCGTGGCCATTCCCCTGGGGGGTGATTTCTCGCTTTCTATCTCTCTGTCTCTGTCTGTCTGGTGAGTGCACGTGCCCTATAGCAAAAACCTCTCCAAAAAAAAAAAAGAACAAATTATTTGTGGTTATGGTCACAGGAGGGGAAAGTGGAGGAACCAGGTGTTACAACTAAAGAGTACAAGGTTTCTTTTGGGGAATGACAGAATTGGCCTAAAATTATGGTGATAATTGTTACAACTCTGAACATACTAAAGTCCATTGAATTATATATCGTAAGTGAGTCAGTTGTCAGGCATATGAATTACATCTCTATGAAGCTGTTACAAAATGAAAACAAAATGTGCTTTAGGAGGCATTTAAGAAAGAAGTAAAAATATTCCCTACCTGGGATCCCGTTAAATGTCAGGGATGAGGAACTGAGACTCGTGTTTACGAGAGCAGTAGCTGAAGCCGTGAGGGTAATTGTGAGGAGAAAAGGAAAAAGCAGAGATCTGAACGTAACAAATTCGGTCTAAGAGCTGTGGTAGGAAGAGGAATGGTTTAAAAAGTGTTTGCCAGGCCAGCAGGTGGCGTGGTGGTTAAGAGCCTATTTAATGACGACAGTAAGGTATATATAGCCCCAGCTAGGAGCTACTTTATAGTATGCTCATTCTACTCACTGAGGTTTATGCCCAGAGTCAGACTTGTGTACGTGGATATGAATATATCAGTTGCGTTTGCTATTGAAAATATTTAGATTAATTCAGGTCTTTAGTGAATCAATAAAATGTGTGTGTGGGAAAAGGTATAGAAGGCAACCATGCATACCAGAGACAGTGTGGGAGGAGGGTGGGAGATGGCAGAGGGTGTGAGAGAGGGAATCAAGGATGGGAGAAAAAGCAAAATATACAGGAAACAAGAAATGGAAAATTAATTCGTTGATGAAAACACGTATGTTGATGTGCTTGATTGAGCCAATATACAGTGTATTCTGGGAGGAAAATCTCGTTTTGTATGCTGTAATGATGTACAGTGAATGAATGTAAATAAATAAATTGAAATTGAAATTGAAAAAAAGATCCCACATGCCCAACTATGCAATTCGAGTCTTAGACCTGGCTGCTTAAAAAACATCTGGGCCTATGTGTTACATGCCCAAAATCCTAGGAGAAAAATGGAGGAGAAAGGACTGTGGGGTACGATTTCTCACTTTCCCTCTCTCTGTCTCTCTCCAGTGATCATATACCCTATGACAAAAATGTTTTAAAAATACAGAAATAAATAAAAAATAAATTCATTTGCTTACAGAAAGTCTATCATTTGGATTAATTTGACCTGTAATTTTCTCAATCAGGAAAACAAGTTCAAAAGAATTTAGAGATGTGATTTTGTGTACAGGCCATTATTAAAGTTGCCAATAATGACTGGTTTTTAAAAATATATCTCTACTATGATACTTCTTAATTTAAAAAGATCAATGGTATTCTTGTGATAAACATATACCTAACACAAAAATCCAGTTCTGCTTATGCCTGTGGGCCAAAGCGATTGAATGACTCCCTGAGGGAAAAAGTGGATGAGGCCTGGAAGCCCAATTGTACAATCATTGGTGAAGCTTGTTCTCTGAGTTTTGTTGTTTTCATTCATTGTTTTTCATTCCTCCTGATGGCTAAATGGGGGGACTTTTCTACCCAGAATATCATTTTACCACCTTTAATGTGTAACAAAACTTTTCTGCACATAGAGCTATATTATGAAAATATAAAATGCTGACATTCTTGCAACCAAAGGGAAACATAAAATTCCAAAGAAATCATTCTTTTTGGTATGTTCCTCTCCCAGATGCGTAACTCAGCTGTAATATGATAGAAATTTTAGTGATAAAGTTGTGACAACGTACGTGATATGGCGTGAATCTGACTTTCATGGTAGGGAATGACCAAGTTTTTTAATGCTGTTTTTCGGTATTTCAGGGAAGGAGATTACAGCAGAAACTTTTATGGAAAAGCTGGATAATGGTGCCTTGCTCTGTCAACTTGCAGAAACTGTTCAGGAGAAATTCAAAGAGAGCATGGAAGCTAGCAAGCCCACAAAGGTAAATGATCTCAACACAAAAACTGCTGCGCAGTGGTAGATCACATTTATAGTTGCTTATTAATTTACTGTGATTCCAGAATTTGTTAGGAATAGATTCACCAAGTTTTATATTAACAACAAAGCACGGAAGATGTGTTCTATTAGGTAGCATGTTATTTGCACGCTAATTAACGTATAATATTCTGTTACATTTAGCTGATTAAATGGTATGGGAAATGATGGCATTAAAAAAGGACTATATATTAACTGGCTGAATCTGATGTCTTGATTAGAAACTTAGAGAAATAATTGTGTCATCAGGCAATGAACAAAATCTGGCCAAGACATATTTACTGAATAGGTCCTTGTTTTCAAAATATTATGGCAGAATATTAGAACAAAATTTATGGAATGTAATATTTGTTTTGAGTAAGTTGTGGGACTGAACTAAGGAACTTTGGCCAAATTACTTTTTTCCCACCACTCATATATTTGTTCTATAGTTTTGTCATAAGATTCTTCGCTAGTTATTATGAATGCATAATAAAGGTATGGTGTTTGATATTTTTTTGAAGAAAAAATGAATGATACTTCTTAATTTTTAGCAGAGAATGAAAAATGAAGGGGGGAACCAGCAGTTAGCGTAATGGCTATGTCGCTGGACTCCCACGTAGTCGACCGGGGTTCACGTCCCGGACCTGGTAGCTTAAAACTCACGCCGGGCGCGTGTGCGTGCGTGCCCAAGATCCCGAGAGGAGAATGGAGGAGAAGGGATTGCGGCGTGACCATCCCCCCTGGGGGGTGATTTCTCGCTTTCTGTCTCTATGTCTCTCTGTCTATCTGGCGAGCGCACGCGCCCTATAGCAAAAAAAAAAAATCTCTCCAAAAAAAAAAAAAAAATGAAGGGGAAAAAAGTTTACAATACTGTTGAAGACAGTTGAAAACAAAACAAAACAAACAAACGAAAAACAACTCTTAAAATGTTTGTTCATCTCTGGCAGAAGAATGAAATTGATGGTTATGTGTGTGCATATCTATTAGCATTGTACTTACTTTCGGAATACTTTATATCACTCAGTAAAGTATTCTGTAGTATATACCCCCCACACCACTACATCTGCATCCTTTTTACTTTCTTTCTTTCTTTTTTTTTTTTCAGTTTTTGCTCTAGGGTATGTGTGCTTGCCAGAGTGAGAGACAGAGAGAGAAAGAGAGAAAAAGTGAGAAATCTCCCCTCCCCCCCAGAGGGGATAATCATACCACAATCCCTTCTCCTTCACTCTCCTTTTAGGATTGTGGACACTTATGCACCCACATCCAGTGTGATTTTCAAACTACCAGTCTGGGACTCAAGCCAGAGCCAGCCATGTTGGAGTTCTGACCTTAACCACTATGCCAAAAGCTGTAAAGATACTTCACAGGCAGTAGAAGCCTTCAAAATCAATGTGTAGCAGTACAATGTCTAATTTGATTTAATTAGCTTATGTGCACTGTAGTGTGATGCATTCACTATGATGAACACATCTTAATCTTTTTGCAGCTGAGAACCTTTAAAGGCAAAAATATAAACAAGGCTAATCTTTCTAGTATTCTATTAAGATGAGAAAACCAAGACAAATGGCAAGTTCAAGGTTAGGTTTTATGCCTTTTGAGTCCTAGTTACCTGACTCCAAGTTGGCATCTCCAGACAAGACAGGATAATCATTACATTTATGCATGCCCGACCTTTCACTTCCTCATCCAACTAGAGTCCAACTACAGACGCCTCACTATTGTATGCTTCCTCTGTTCTTTCCCCACCAGCCACAGTTTTGCTGATCTGTGTATAAGACATTCTCAGCACTGGGGCATCCACATGGGGGAAGATATCCAAAGCTTTCAACCTCTCTCTTTCTCCTAACATTCCTTTCCATTTGTCTCATTTATTTTAAGAGTCACTGCCCCAGACATCAGAGTTTCTCTGGGATCAGAGCTTCCTTTGACTTCAAAGGGCCCTGGGTGGTTAGATCAGGTTTGAAGCACATGAAGAAGAAGAAAAAAAGAGAAGTTCTGTTACCTAGTAGAATGCTACATTATGCTCTAAGGAAGGATCTGGAGTTCACGGCCTAAATGTAGAATCCAGTCCTTGTTCCGGGGAAAGAACATCCTAGTCAGATAGAATGCCTATAATCCACTGGCCCATCAAGGATACCTAGTTCCCTGAGCTACAAGATAATAGAACCTCAGGATGTCGAACCATCCGGGAATGAAATAAAACATAAAGATTAGAGACTTTCCATTAAAAAAATATCAATAGCACTTTTTGTTTAGAGAAAATCTTATCAAGAGTAAAATCAGAAAAATCCACACATTTGTGTTCACCACTGATCTCTCAGACAGAGCAAGAAAATCTCAACTGTGATTAATCTGGGATCCCTCAATACCTGACTGCACAACTAAAATGACTGTATATTCCTTAAGAAATTTGCTTTTCTAAAATGCAAGTATAGTTCTAGAATTAAACCAACAAGACTGAATCATGAAATGAAAGGAATCTGAGCAGATGGTTACAGGCAAAAATGAAATTTTGATGGTATAGTGCTTCCTGGGTCTAAGATACAGAAGATGAAAGTTCTTAAGAACTTGTGAATAGAAATATATTCAAGTCTTAAATATACTAACATATATTATTTTCCAGTATATAGGACACTTCCTTTGTCATCATTTCTCTAAGTCCCTGACCACCTGACCAAATTTTTCACTTGCAGGTCAGACAAGGAAATGTCTTGCATAATGTTTTTCTCAATGGGAGTGTTCCTTTCTTATATCTTCTTATGATTATATGCTTAAATATGGCTTCCATGCCATAACAATACCTGTTGGTGTATCATATGAAATAATAGGAATAAGATGTAAAGGAGTTCAAATCTTTTCCCTGTATAGTCTACTGGTCATAGAAGACTTGATATACATGCAGATGGAGACAAAAAAGCAGCAGTGTGAAAAGTGGTCATGCTAGCTAATGAGTGATACGCTTTGGGAATTTACCTGACTCTGAAGGCCTAATTGAGTTAACCTCAGTGATGGCATTTTTGCTCTGATAAAGTAGTGCTGGGCACAATGTAAACTTAGGCCACATGGTTTATATGGTACTAAGTTCATGATATATAGTTCGGTTTCCTGGTCACTGGTCTCCCGTGGTAGAGGAAGCCTCCATCAGACAACCAGGGCAAGCTGGGTACATTTGCGTCCTGTCCCTTACTAAGAAAGTCGTGCTCCAACCTGGCCTCTACAACTGGACACAGAAACGTCATTTAGTGAGCAGAGATATCTTCCTGGGTTTTATGAGATTTTTCCTCTGTCCTCTGGAATGTGACGCCATCTAGATTGCCTGCTTTTCTTGCTCTTCAGCATCAAAGCAGCAAAATATCCCAAGAGGAGTTTGACAGCTGAGATGTTGAAATGACCATGGTCCCTGTAGGCTATGTCACAGAGCTGGAGTTGATGTGCAGAATAAAAAGACAATTCTGTTGTTTCTGTTGAACAAATGCAAGCTGCCTCTGGTGTTTTCTGTTGGGTCGTCTGAAAAGTCATGATGCATGTTTGCATAGAAAAGCATGTCATGACTTTTCCCATGACCCAATATTTATCAGAATTAAGAAAATTGTACTTTTTACACCAAGAGAGGAATGCTAAGTAGCAGGATATTGATTAACGCCTTTCAAGGAAAAGACCACTTCTGTAACTGTGATTCCATCTGAGGCTGTTATGTCATTATAGTTTCCCTGCTGTCTTCCAGATCCCATTAATCTTTCATCCTGGCTTGGATTGAATGGAGATGTGATGAAATCACTTTCCTTGCAATGCTTAGATCATTGATAGAAATGCAAATCTCTGATTTTTTTTCCAAAGGTGCAATATTTTATTCAATTCTTTTACCATAAAAAAAAATTCATCCCACATGTTAGGAAATAAAAATCCTGACAGTTGCTGAGAATATTCAGGCTAATTATGCATTGGAAGCAAAATGAAAATAAAAACAATAAAACCTCTGCTGTGTTCGAAGGTGTACTAGTCAGAGTGAAATGGATTTAGGTCAACCATTCATCTATCACCTAAACCCCATGCGGCATTTCCCTTTCCCTAATACATAGTAAACAGTTCAGATTCCTTTGACAGAAAGACTAGAAAGAAGCTTTACAGTAAAACCTGAAGTCATCATTTAGTGGGTTTCATGTCAATAAATCAGCTCTAGTCCAGGATCAGGGGATGAGAAGATTTTCTCATTTTGCTGTTTTTGTTATACTAAGCAAGAACTTAGGGAACCACCTAATGGTGCTGTCATTAATAAACCCTAGTCAGATGTCTTGTAGCATTGGTCATTCTGAGAGATCTTATTAGCCTGTTTTGTATTCTGGTAGCCATATCCACCCACACCTTTGAAAGTTAAGTGCCACCATGTGTGCCTCCCACTCTGATCATCGTCATCCATGTTAACCGTAAGGGACTGGCAGGTGGTGTGGCGGTTGGGGCACTGGACTCCCACATGACTAACCATGGTTTGAGTCCTGGACCTCGTAGCTTGCTTTCTCATTTTCCCATTCTTTTTCTCTGGCTGAATTTTAAAAATAATAATAAATAAATAATTAGATAAAATAATTATTTAACAAAACAAGGGAGCATATTTCAATAATAGCTACATGCAAAGTTTTTGGAATTTCCTCACCAACATATTCCTCACATAAAACAGAATAAAATAGAGCCTCTTGGAGCCCCTGAACAGTATGGTTACAGTGTGCTTAGATGAAGCATACATTATGAATTGAATGTAGCATTTCTTTCTTCTCCAAATTTTGAATTCCTTTCTCTATATTGTACCAAGTGATTTCTGGCTTTTTAGCATCATGGAGTATAGGCTAGCATTGTATCTGCATTTGCATCAGCAAATCTAGCAAGCTTTGCCAAGATTGTCCCTGGCCACCCGTGCCATTGAATTTAGGGCATCTTGTTAATCTAGTCAGAATAATATCCTCAAAATCG